CACAATTCATAAATATATATATATATATATATATATATATATATATATATATCCTGATGAACGAAGATAAACAACCTAATCTTAAAATTTGAAGATAAACAACCCAATTCAAAAGATTTGAACAACTACTTCATCAAAGTAAATATATGAACAGTAAATAAGCATATAAAATATGCTAAACAACACTAATCTTCAGCAAAATGCATGCTAAAACCATACTGAAGGGCTAAATTCACCTATATGAATGGCCAAATTTGAAAAGATTGAACATAACAAGTGTTGATAAAGATCTGAAAAAAATTGGAATTTTATATACTTCTGGTGGAAATCTAAAATGATGCAACCATTTGTCATTAAATATTTACATACCATGTGGTCTAGCTACTTCACACCTAGGTATTTACTCAAGGGAAGTAGGAGCATATGTCAGTCAAAAGACTCACACGTAAGTGTTTGTAGAAGCTCTATTTGTAATAATAAAAACAATAAACAAAAAACTGGAAAATCCCAAATATTCATCAAAATGTAGATGTATAAACAAATGGTGATATAGCTATACCATAAAATACTATCCAGCAATAAATTACTGAAGGATTGACATGTATAAAAGTATTAATGAATCTAAAAATTATTGCTCTGAGTAAATGAAGCTAGGTAAAAAGTATATTCTATATATTCCAATTCTAAAACATGCAAATTAGTCTCGCAATAGAAAGTAAATCAGTGATTGGCTTGAGATGATGATGAGGGACAGAATAAGTACCAGGAAGGGACATAAAAAGATACGTGATAACTTGTGTGCATGATAGATATGTTCACTATCTTGTCTAAGGTAATATTTTTATTATGAAATTTTGCACTTAAATATGCACAGTTGATTGTATGACAAAGTTGTTGAAGGAAAAAATATCTGGAGAATCGCAAGGGTTTCCATAACAACAAGCATATAATTGGTTGCCCTGGGATCCCTTGCTGATGCTCCTGGCGAGAAAATGGCCAGAGCTCATCAGGGATGGGATGCCTGTTCCAAGCGTGTATGCCAGAAGCCCTGAATGGTGCTATTGGTTTGGGATAAAATATCAGATGGAAAGAGAGAGAAAGAGGTAGGACTCACACAAATCAGGAAGTACAGATCTAGCAGCCCTAGCTGAGCCTGGGATTAAAAATCTATGAGAATTGGAGGAGGATGTCTATCATCCATTCCACTTCTATCTTAAAAATGGAGAAAATGAGGCTCAGAAGAGGAAGAAACTTGTTCAAAGCTACATAGTACATCAGCGTAGAGCTGACACAACAGCCGGGTCTTCTCCTCATCACTCTTCCCTGAAAGGGTAGAATTACTTCCCAGATGACAATAATCAACTCTTCCCTAATGACCACCTGCCAGGTATCAAATCTTTCACTGAACACTTTACCTGCAATCCTCTGGTCATCACCCAGGTAGATGATATGGCTGTCTTCTTTTCACAGGTGAGGAAGCTTTAACCCCTACAGTGTCTTAACCCTTGGAAAGGCTATAAGGAATCAACCAACCCAATCCCTATCTTCACTCATGTTTTATAGCTGAGAAACCTAAGAGACCCACAGTATAATTGACTTCCCAGAGTCACAACTGATGACTTGTTTGAGTTCCTGTGGTTTACTGATACCTGGAGCTGACAGTTTATGGAGTTTAGTGATCTGGATTATATCATGAAGTGCTTCATCTGTTTGTACACTTGGTGTGAGAGGAAAGATATACACACATATGTGCACACGTTGGGGATGGCATGTGTGAATGTGGTGATACACGCTTGCCTCTGGGTAGCCATGACAATATGTTTCTGTGCGTATGTTCTGCAGGATGCAGGTGTGTACTCATGTAGAATAATCCTTCTAGGGTTCTCAGAAACCCCTTTAGGTCTTTTTCCAAAACTCTTTTAGGAGTGATACATGTGGCTTTTTCTACTTTCCTGCAGACAGACTCAGCGTCCTCAGCTGGAGAGGAATGAGGTTGGTTTTGCACCTCTCTTCTTTGGTGTAGCCAGTGAAGATTAAAACCATGGTCCTCAGAAAGACGCTTTGGATGATATTTCCAAGACATAGCTGTGAGCCCAGATGGCTTGAAGATAATACCATCTGGATGTTATTCCAAACAGGTGAAGAAATTTTCTCCTCCAAAGCCACAAAACTAAAAATAGTACAAAGTATACACTTACAGTCTTTTCTCCACCACCTCTTTGCTGGACTAACATCTGCTTATGTTGGGTCTCAGCTTTAAGTTCATTCTCTCCAGGAATTCTCTGACCCTCACACCCCTCCCCTGTGGTTTACCATCCACTATGCATGCTCTGTCCCCATCATATCTTACTGTGCAGTCAGGAAGAGACAGGGGGCACTGCAAGAAAAGATGTATGAAGGAGCTTTGCATATAATGGTTGGGATACTGACAGGGTATACATTTGTCAAAAAGGATTCAATCGTACTTTTAAAATGTACTTCTTTTGACTATGAACCATAAAGTAGTAAAGTTGATTTGGGAACTCGCTCCCCAGCCCTCAGTGGTACTCAGTCTTTCTAGTCCCTATTTGTCTCTCCAAGGGCAGCAGCAGAACAGAGGAACTTAAGGCTGGAGTTCTTGTTCAACCGCATAGGTCCTGCGTTCAGCACCACGGACAGAAACCCCTTCGGTGAAATGAGGCTAGAGGATTTCTTCATTGTGCCCGCTCAGGAAAGAATCTTCCTGGAAATGGTGTCAGTATATAGGAAACTCAGGTCTGGACAGGTCACCTGCTCCAGTTTATGACATCTATACAACATATTATCTAGACTACCATATGCTTACTAACGTCCAGAGAACGTCATCATGCCATGGTGGCAAAAGCCCTGGGGAAGGATCAGAAAAATATGGGTATTGTCCTTCACTCTTACCATGTGCTCATGCCATAGCCTTGGACAAGTCACCCCATCATTTTGGCCTCAGTTGCTTCATATTTAAAATGAGTGTACTATACTTGGTTATTTCTAATTACCCCTTCAGGTATAGTCCCCTAATATAAGGGACTGACAGCTTCCACATGATAAGGTGTGTGTGTGGGATTCCCTCTCACCCTAAAATAATCCTGCTTTGTAACTTCACAAACCACAGTTTCTAGTTGTACATCCTGTCCATCCCCTCAGCCTTAAAGGGAAACTTCCTTCACCCTTGCTACATCTTTCTCTCCTGAGCCACACTAGCACCCAGGCTTGTTAGGTAGGGAAGGCTGGGGACAGTCACAGACAAAAACTCAAAGTTAATCAACTTTGACAACTCTGTTAAAGCCTTGGCGACAGACAGAAGTGAATTTAGATGTGAGATCCATCATTCATCCTCTGTAGATTTTAAAAACACCATTTATCTGGGTAACCACCTGTGGGATCAAATGCCTACCTGAGGCAAGGTCATTCACAGGCAGGAAGAGTCATATGAAATCCCTTCTCCAATGCTCTAACATCTGTATCCATTGTTTTGCACACAGGACGATGATCCACTTATAATTCTCCATTTAAATTTCTTCTTGATTGATCTACTAGATGAAATTTGTCCTCAGACTCTTATTACAATACTCATTATAGACACCATTAGAACATGAATTTGTAACTGTTCTCCCCACTAATATAATTACTGGTAGACTTACATGAATAATTCCTGCTCTCATTAACATAATAATAATTTGCTAAGTGCATTCCTTTACTTGTACAGTCTGGATGCCTGTGCCTTTTCAGGTATTATTCAGCTGGAATCAACCCATCTGCTCTTCCCCTAAAAATGGTCCTTCCCCCACCTGTCCCCACCATCAGTGGAATGGGTCCTGCCTCCCTCCTTAAATAACAGGTCACTTGTAGATTTGTAGCAGCTCCTCCGGCTGCCACTCCTGTGCAGCCTCTGCTAAAAATTACCTGGTCCCAGTGGGGTACCAATACTTTTCCAGCATTATCCCCATGAAGCAGCTGCCATTCTCAACCCCATACTTTACAGATATAGAAATGAGGGTTTAGAGAGGCTAAGCAAGTTTTCCTCAATCATTTGCTTCATAAGCGATGGATTCAACCTTTAATTTCAGATATTTATGATCCTGGGGCCCAACTTCCACACATTTGTCATCTTGCACCACAGAAAAAAAAAATCCTGTCCACCTGGTTTATATTACTCCCTCCTCACCATCCTCGGGTTTTGATCCATGGACCAAAATTTTCAAGTCTCCCATGGGCAGGCAGCCTAAGCTTTGTAATTTCACCCAGCTTATTATGATCGTGAAAGAGAGGTCTCTTTGCCATAGAGAGGCCTCTCACCATTCTACAAAGAGCATTCCAGGGCCGCAAGCACCATGGCCTAGCCTGGAGCCCCTCCTTGAGCGCACTGCCTGGGTACTAATTTATCAGTTCCCTGTTGGCTCCGTCCAGCAGCTTGGAGGTGAACTTGACCCTCCTCTAAGCATCATCTTGCTGCTGATGTGTGAATCAGGATAAAACCATTCCGGGGTATGTTTCCTCACTGTGCCAAGGAGCTCCAAAGCTCCTATGATCTTCGCCGTGTTTTGGGAGTAGAATGTTTAAAAGACAGGAAACTGATTCCCAGAGTAACACATTTTTGGAGGGAGAAGAAACCTTAGAGATCGTCACCCTTCTTTTTGCACAGATGAGGAAAGGAACTATGAGAAGGGAAGCAACTTGGAAGGTAGCCAATGCCAGATCTCAGGACTCAGCCCGTCCAGCTTGCACTGGTTGTGAAGAGATCCGGGTTGGGTTTATTGGTTTGTCTTTGGGGCATGATTCTCACCTTGCCTGCTGCAGTGGGACAGGGCGGTGTTGTCCGGATTCAAACTCTGAGTCCCAGGCCTCCTACTGACTTAGTATACACAGCTTCAGTTTCCTTGATCTTTTTCTGGACCTGGCACAGAGTTTGAATCCTCAGGGTATCCCGGTTGTGCTTCAAGTTTCTTGTTCCCAGGGAGCTCAAAGCCAGACAGGGTCTGTGCAACTAGTCCCCATCCATGCCTAATTCCTTCTGCTGGAACCCCATCCATGCACCTGCACTCAACAAGCTGGTGTGTCTAAGTCACATTGCCTGGGGCTGCTCTCATTGCTGGGACCAACAGTTTTCTGAGTACCTCTCAATGAGCCAAGTCCAGATGGGACAAATCCTCTCTCAAGTGCTGTTTTCTCAAGGCCGTGTTGAATTATATCACATTATAATGGTATGTCACTCTGCTCCTTCACCTTTATTTAACCAAAGTTGGGGCCGCCAGCTGAGTCTGAGGATGTATCCTAGCAAGAGGGTGTCCTGGATATGGACTCTTAAACACACATTCATTTAGCAGTGCTTTTCTGCAGGAGGGAGTTCTCAGCAGCAGCCCCCACTGCAGCCAGGGGTGGAGAAGATAGTCAGCACCCAGGATGGGAGGACACACCTTACCCAGGGACAAGACCTCACTGGCTTCCACCTGCTCTACTGCATTAGACCAAGGGAGTGTGGGCAAGGGTGGGCCAGCTAAGGGGTCCTGGTTGCAGCACTCCTCTCACTTTCTCTAGTTAATTCCTGGAATCAAATACAGGTTCTTCAGTGCTTCTTTTGGCAGGTTTTCAGATGAATCCTTATCTCTGCACAGCAGCCGGATGGTCCTCAAGATAGATCTGAAATGGGAGGTGAAGAGAGGCCAAGGGGAGAGCAGCTGGAGGGGCTGGAGGACAGAGGTGGGAAAAGGGAGTGAGGGGACCACGCTGCAGGCAGGTCAGGATTGGGATGGTGCAAACTCCCAGGGAAGAGACTGGAGCAGCAGGAGTGGCTCTGGGAAGGAGCTCTACCTGGGTCTGCTCCAATAGGAAGGATTAAATGAATAAACAGCTGGAGACAGTGTCCTGCTCACTTTGAAATGAGCAGAAAGTGACACTTCTGGGCAAGCTCCCTCTTCTCACCTCAGAGGGAGAGTAGGAGGTGAGCTTAGATGCCTTTCCTTTTTCATGAAGAGGAGTTCTCAGCTTCTAGGCTCCCACTCTCAGGCCATCCTCCCCACACAAGGGTGCAGCAGGCAGGACAGCATCTAGCAGTGTTCAGCGCAGGTCTATTGAATGCTCACCCTGCGGCTGGAATTTGGTGGTGGGACTCTACGGAGGCTGAGCCTAGCTGGAAGCGGGTTGGAGGGGAGTCTGCTTCAAGCAACCCATGTCTTTCTGGCCCAGATGAAATGTGCTGTGGAGTCTACACAGGTTATAGGTAGCATTAAATGTGGCAGAACTTCTCCCAGCATGGAGCACACAGACCAGCCCATCTGGCATGCAGCATGTAGCAGACACATCCAGCCAAGTCTAGGCTGCAGCAGCTGACCTTTGACCAAACTGTGATACAGGAATGAGAATAAATTCCTTGTTTAAAGCATTGAGTTTTGGGCGGTGTATTATGCACCAGTAGCTGACTGATGCAAATGCCTTGAATGTAGTAGGTATGCATTTAGCACAGTGGGAATGGAAGGAGACAGCATTCATGTGGCTTCTAACCTCCTGGAGCTTAAAGGATAACTGGGAAGACGATGAGCAATAAGCAATCCACCAATAGCTAGCATAAAACCCAAGATGCAGGAGAGATGCTGACCAATGCTCAGCGAGTGATGAGGCCAGCCGTGGGTGAGCTGGGACAGCCCCTCGGAGGAGGGGCCATATGCACCAAGATCTAGAAGTGAGAGGAGATGGAGTGAAGAGCTGGGAAGAGGGCTTTGGGCAAAGGCAACAGCAAGGGCAAGAGCTCCAGAGCTCAAAGCCAGAGATGGACAGGACAGACCAATGACTGCAGGGTGGACACAGTGGAGGCCAGTGCTTACAGAGCAGGCACCAGGACTTATTTTAAGCATTTTATTTAAATTGTCTCATTTAGTCTTGACAACATACCAGAACATAGAGTGTGTTTGCTGGGATTTATTTTGTTGAAGATGAGAGAGGCCCAGCTCACACTGGGTTCACCACACAGGAAAGTCTACGGCTCACGGAAGTGGGGGAAATGAAAAGTTTCAGGAAGAGGCATATTCAGGAACTTCAGTTAGGTCACTGCATCTCTGTCTCCCCCACCCGCAACCGCCTCTCTCTCCCTGTCTCTCCCCTCTCTCTGTCTCTGTCTCTCTGTTTCTCTGTCTCTCTCTGTCTCTCTGTCTCTGTCTTTCTGTGTCTCTGTCTCTATCTCTGTCTCTGTCTCTCTCTCCCTGTCTCTCTGCTCTCTCTGTCTCTGTTTCTGTCTCTGTCTCTATCTCTCTGTCTCTGTTTTTCTCTCTCTGTCTCTCTGTCTCTTTCTCTGTCTCTCTGTCTGTCTATCTCTCTCTCTCTCTCTCTCTCTCTCTCTCTCTCTCTCTGTCTGTCTCTCTGCCTCTCTGCTCTCTGGTACAGTCTTGAGAGGTAGCCCAGGCTAGCCTTAAACTTGTAATCTTCCTGATTCAGTCTCCAGAGTAGCTGGGATTATAGGGGTGCACCATCCCACCCAACTTTGTTCTTTGTCTCTATCTTGCTGGACTTCTTGGAGAAGAAATAGGAAAGAGAAGTAAGAATCCCATCCTACCTGACAACTCTAGGAAGAAGACAGAGCTGCTCTCTCCCAAATTCCCTTTATGTGAAACCCCAGAAAGGACTCCGTGACTACGATCTCCCTCCTTGGCTCCTCACGTGTGCAGCAAATGGGCGCTGTGACTTCATGCCTGAGGTGGGTCTGTATGGTAACCCTGCCAGAACCCTGTGGTCGAGGTAGCAGGTGACAAATAGATCCCTAAAGACAGTGTATATGTGTATACGTTCGGGGTGAGGGGAGGTCAGTTACCAAAAGGAAAGAGGGGAAACTAAGCAAGCAAAAAGGTAAGTATTATTCCAATTCAACAGATAAGAAAGCAGTCTCAGAGACGTCAATACCTGCTACAAGTCAGCAGGTGGCAGGGCAGAGCCTCAAACCCATCCACCTGCACAGAGATCTGCAACCCTCACCAGCAGGCCCTAGACCACGCAGCCAGACTCTCAGTAGGTCCGAGTTGTGACTCCAGCCAAGAAGGAAGGCCCCCAAGTTTCAGGCCTGTTACTCAGCAGCCCTGTGACCTTCAGCAAGCACAACCCGTCTGAGTAACAGTTTCCCCACAGGTCACTTGCGGAGTAACAGAGCCCACCTCATGGGGTGAGTGAGACGAGCTATATGAGTGGGGTCAGGAGAGCCCGGCATCCACGATGGGCAGGTAGCAGACACAGTGTAGACATACCGGTCAAATGTACTATTTGTGTCCCGAGCCGGACGGTGTGAGGTTTCACCGCACTGCTCTGAATGACTCAAAATTTAAAACTTATTTATTCTTGGAGCTTTCCATTTAATGTTTGTAGACTGCTATCCAGCATGAGTAACTAAACTTGCACAGAGTGACTCTGTGTGCACGGGGGGAGGCACTATAGGATGCCCACCCCTATTTGACTCAGTGACCCCTAAACTAAATGGCCAGTGGGGTGCTGGCAGGAGGAGATGCTGGCGCTGGCTGCAGGGAAGGAGCCTGCAGAGGAGCCGCTGGCAGACAGTGGTGAGCTGGGCACATCTGAGGGCTCTGAGCTGTGCATTTTGCTGGAGAGCAGGATCACATGACAAATAGATTGCACCTCAGGGCCTTGTGTTTTTATAAAACTCTTGGCTGATATCGCAGTGGGCAATAGCCTCTGAGGACTCCATTCCCTTCAATACCCTGCCTGAGAGCCTGTCCGGTGTAGCATGTCCTGTGCATGGTGGAGGGGAGCAAAGACAGCCTCATCTCAAGTCCCCCGTGAAGATGGTGCTTGTAAACTCTGACAGGTGCAGGCACCTCGAGCAAAAGTCAGTGCAGAGAAAGCTCAGTAGCGTCCACAGTTTTAGCATCCATAGCAGGTCTTGGAAGGTATCCCCATGGATAAAGGAGGGTGCTAGCGTTGTGCCAGGCTCTGTGGCAGGCGCTCTTACAGAGCTTATCTCACTCCATCCTCAAACGATAGCCCAAGGAACGGTTGCTATGATCCCAATTTACTTAGGGGAAAATTTGCTTAAAGAGGCCAAGTTCTTGCTAAAGGTCACGCAGCTAGTAATGGCTCACTTTGAGACGCTTTCTTTTTGTTATGAAAAGTCCCAGCCCTGAACCACTGTGTGTGTCATGAGTCTGCTGCTTTTCCTCCAACCATCCCTTCCTTCCTGTGCCCTGCACCTCTGCAGCCCTGTCCTCTAGGTGCCTTGATATCTGGCCCCCAGGTAGCCTGAGCCACTGGGAGGCTCGAGAGGAAGCCAGGAAGAGGGAAGATGGTGTTGTTTCTCATTTTCCCCCTTGGCATATCCAAACGGAAGAAGTCCCTGCTTCTTTGGTGGCCCCAGCGTCTCATTCTACAGCAAAGTTGGGCCTGACTGCCTCCTCCCATGTGTCTTGTACGTTGCATGGCAACAGGTCCCCAAAGCAACTGACCCTTGGTTGTCTCAACTGCTCCTTTTGATTTTTCAACTTTATTAAGAATCAAACCTCTTAAGTTCAAAATACCTCTGTGGGTTTTCCAGGAACAAATCCTGAGTGTCCCGGCACATGCCTCTAGGAGGGATCCAGGGTTTGGGCCCAGAGTGTGACGCAAAGGAAAGACCCCTCCAACAAGTACGAGGGCGTCCTGGGACTACGGATGGGCCCCGGCATCTGGGCTCCTTAGCTGATCACCTGGGGAGTCTGGGTGAAGGGCCAGCTGAAGGTGACACTGTAGGAGGCATGAGCCCTGTACAGTACGGACGCTACTTGCTGCAGTGCCAAGACTTACCTAAGAGCGGCTTGTGTTTTAGGGTGGGGCGAAGAAAGAGGAAAGCACGTTGGCTTGCTGAAAGGTGCAAAGCCACACCAAGAGGGGCTGTCAGGACCCAAAGTAGGAAGCAGAGAGGTGTGGAGACTCCAGTCTATACTTAGGGATGGCCCCTCTGGCAATAGATTGGAGCAGGGGCCAAAGGGGGACAGACAAGCAGCAGGGATGTTTAGGATGCTGCTTAGGATGGCGGTCTGGGACAGGAGAAAGAGCCTAGGGTCAGGACAGTGCCCGGGCTCTGCCTCTTTCCAGCTGTGTGACCTTGGACAGGGCACTCAACCTTTTCGAGACTTTCTCAGCTGGAAGCTCTCAAAGGCATAGATAAGGTGTTTGGTCTTTAGTGAGTATGACAAAAGGCTCAAGAGTCCTTACTGGGGGTTGGTCCTGGAGATCTCCCGCCACAGCTCCAGGCACTCCCTGTGGCCCATCCCGCTGGGAAGGGCCATGTCCATGGAGCAGGACAGCCAGTTCCTGGAGGCCAGAGAAGGCAGTGGAAGAACTAATATATGACTGTCCTGGGCGCAAGGGCCCCTGGGAGGGAAGGCAACAGCAGAAGCAACTTTAGGCCCTGAAGTGGTCTGTCCAGCAGGTGGCAGAGTGGCAGGAAGCCAGTCTCTCCCCCTATCACCACCAGGCTGCAGGACTTAGTGACAGTCCCCTCTAGGAAAGAAGGGCGTTGGAGTAGTTGCCACCAGAGCCCCTACTTCCACCAGCTCCTGGCGTCCTTCACAGCACCTGGCTTCAGGGACCTGAGGGCGGGTCCCACCATGAACACACCCAGCCCAGTGCCTGGCCCTGCGGTGCTCCTCTCTCCTCGGTCACACCGGGCTACCATTTGCGCCTGTTCCTGAAAGCAGAGAGCCTGCCTGGCACACCAGGGCGCTGGCCCCTCACACTCATGAACGCTGTGATCCCAAAAGACTGCTGGCCAGGGGTTTGGGGTGGGGACGCTGGGAAGGCCCAGCCCCCACACCCAGCAGCAGGCAAGGACAGTTACCGCCCCCACGGAGGCAGGACCACCTCTCCAGATGCATCAGCCGCAGAGACGGACAGGACCTCCAGGCCCTGTAGTCACCTCGCAGCTCCTGGGCCTGCCCAAAGCAGCCCGTAGGAAGGCAGGCATTCAGACCCAGGGCCCCAGACTCCCAGTCCAGTGCTCTGTCCACCAGCCTCCTGCCCTGTCCTTCCACTCTCAGGCTAGCGTAGACCCAGCCCACAGAGCAGCCCTGTCCACTTAGGTGTGCGTCTCGGTCATGGTGTGATGTCTGGTTTTTATTCAAATGAACGGCAAGGGGAGGACAGAATCACGATCCACAAGTGATGAGCGTGTCTTATGAGGTGAGGCGGATGCAAAGCGCCCATCCTTCCCTTCCGCTGGAGGCAGGGACTCAAGGGCAATTAGATTTTACATATTTCCCTTTTTAGACTTCAATAAATATCTCCTATAGAAACCAATTGGCATTTTCTATGCTTAACGCATAATAGTGAGCTTTATAAATCTACATTAGCCCCATAAATCTAAATTAAAGGCCAACATTTCAAAGTATTTAGGACCCATAATTAATAAAGTGCTAGTACACTGCATTATTAATCTGTTTACTTTAAGCCAAATTTTCACTTTCAAAGCCATTTTCCTTCTCCAGGGTGGGTGGGAGGCAGGAGGGAGTTGCCATGTGCCTGGGCACTTTCTAGGCCACCAGAAGGTCTCTGCTGTGACCCAAGGTGCCACCTGAGAGCACTGAGCATCTTCAGGGGTGTGCTCTGCTCCTGGCCCCAGAGGGACTTTTGTGTGACCTGTTTCAGAAAGTTTTAAAAATGAGTAAAATGGGTGAGGCGTGTAGCTCAGTGTGAAGGCCCTGGGTTCAACCCCTAGTACAACAAAGCACACACACACTCACACACACACACAGGTGACTGGTGTAACAAGTCACGGGGCTCCCATGAGGCCCTGTCAGTGACTTCACTGTCCGCCATTCAGGGTGTGTGGGCATCACACATCCTGGCCGCCACCTCCTCTCTCTCGCCATGTCTAATGACAGAATTCTGCCTGGCCTCCCCGTCATCCCTCCAAATGGGGTCCTCTCTCCATCTCTGCTCTGCCTGTGTCACCTGACTGTCTCTGCACAGCTGTCCCCCCCACCCCTACTACCACCACCTGCCTTCCCTGCCCTGGGCTCTGTTGTCCAAAAGCCTGGGTTCTTCCCTGCCTTCACCCCCACGCCCAGAAGGCAGAGCCCCTGCCCTCCCCTGGAAGGAAAGGCAGGCAGTCAGTCACCACTCAAGTCTTGGGGAGCCTGTGGGTCCTGCTGCTCCTTTGAATAACTCTAAAGTGATTCTTTCAGAGGAAGCACGGATCCCCAGGTGGATGGAGAAGGGTTGAGGTCTGCTAAGCACGCTTGTGTCCCTCCCTCTGGCCCTAGTCCGGAGGACTCTGCACGCAGAGCACCTCTCCCGGACCTGACTGAGGCAGGACTCCTTCTCTGCGACCTGGCTGGAGAGAGCAGACCCAGGCAGGCAGTGGGGAGAAAGAGGGAGGTTGGTAAAGGACAGATCCAGTCCGGGTTGGAGAGACAGGCTGGCTGTCTAGAAAGTCCCCTCTGCTCTATCCCTGGGCTCCTCCTCCTCTCTCCACCTGGAACTTCCACGAAGCTCCCAAGGACGGTGTTCCTGCGACTCTGGCTGATGCCCCTCTGGTCCTGAGTGGCTGTCCTGCCTCACAGCCGGTCTGTCCTGGGTCGGGCAGGGATAGAGGCTTCGGAGGCATAGGTGGCAGGTCCTCAGCGTGTGGGCTGAGACCAGCAGGGGCGGGGCCTCTCACACTTGTCCCTGGGCCCCAGAACGGCCCACTCGGAGCTGGGTTGTTTTCCTGTTCTAATTAACATCGCTGAGAATTAAACCTAACACCCCACAGAGCCCGCTCCCCCAGAGCATTCCCGCTCAAAGGCAGATTAAACAGGAAAACCGGTTCCCATCCTCCCAGCAAGAGTCAGGGAGGCACAAACCAGAGATGGAAGCTGTAATTACCAGCTGATTATGCAGTGTGAGTTATTAAAAGATAAAACAAAGCGAAGACCAACATCTCCCAAATAAAAACAATTAACAACACTCTCAGTTGCTTCTGCTCTGCTTAAAGAGACATGAGCTTCTTTATTCTACACGGACTTCCTCTCTCATAGTTCTGCACTGCCATCCAGGTCATCTGCTAGGAACCTACCTGCCACAGACCGGGAGGTGCTTCCAGCAGGATGAGAAATAAAAACTGCCCTCCAGGGGCCACTCACAGTCAGGAGAGGACATGGCCTTTGAAGGAAGAGTCCATAGACAATATACTGGAGTGAAGGTGGGGAGGGAAGAGTCCATAGACAATATACTGGGGTAAGGGAGTGTGCCATGTACAAGAGGCTGTGTGGGAGGATAATGAGAGGCATCAACAGCTGCAGGAGGGAGGTTAGGAGCTGATATTTAAGATGAGACCTGTAGAATCTATTACTTGAAGAATGGGGGTAGAGTGACCTACAGAGCATGAACAGTATGTGCAAAGGCCCTGAGGTAGGAAGGATGGGTTGGAAGACCAAAGAGCCCTATAGCAGTGTGTGGGGAGGAAGGAGTAGGAGGAGATGGAAGAGGCAACATCTAGTCTTCTTGTCTCCTCAGTGAGGCTGGGTGACTTAAGTTCCCCCAAACACACTGAAGGGTTGTAAGTGGCCTGATGTGATTTTTTTTTCAAATGACCTCCAGTGTTTTCATGAACATTAGAGTAGGAACAAGAGGAGCTGAGAGGAGGTGCAGGGAGGCATCCCTTGGAGGCTGGGACCAGAATAACGGCTGAGGGAATGGAGAGATCTGGGAGGAATCTGGAAGAGCAGCGCCCCCTTGAGGGTGGGAAGTGCAGGGAAGAAGATGGGTGGGGACATCGAGTGGGTGAGGTCAGTGGACAGCTGCATGTGCCTCCTGGGGGAGGGCAGAGGGGCAGAGAGAGGGTCAGGAGAGGGACCTCACTCCTCCACCCCTGCCATTGTCAGCTGTGGATGAGGCAGGGAAGGGGAAGAGTCTCCTTTGCCCTGAGCGATACCGGGGGAAGAAGTACCTTGGGAGAGGTATTCTCCTCATCTTCCAGTGCGTCACACATCAGCCAATCAGTAGCATCACAGAGTAAGCTCAGCCAGGGTGAGGCTTGGGGCTGATCAGGGAGGGCTCCCTGAAGGAGCTGTCTCTGCCCTGAGACTGGAAGAATGAGCAGGAGGTGGCCACGCAGGATTCCCCAGTCCGTTATTGTGTGTCTAATTTCTATTAGAAATTAGTTTCCTGGGGGTGTGGGACTCCATCCATGTTACCAGCACTTAGACTGAACTCTCACACACGATGGATCCACATGTATCTATTGAATGAATGAATGAGCGAATGAATGAATGGATGGATGAGACAAAGAGTAGCTTTAAACTTCATCCGTAGGGCAGAAGTGAGCCATGTTAAGACTTTGGAAGAGAGAAGTGACAGGGTCTGATTTAGAACAATTGTCAGCCCAACATGACGGAGGCCGGCTGCTAGAGGAAAGCGATGTGGCTGCGGCCCTTCGGTGAAAGTGAGGTGGCAGTGGAAGCGACAGGCTGGAACGAGGGGACGACGGAGGCCCGGGATAGGGGTGGGGGTGGGGTCTCAGGCTCGCTTGGCCAGGCTGTAAGGAGCGAGGGGTATGGAGCCCAGGCCCAGGTGGCTGATGCTGGGGTCTGGGCAGGAGGACAGGGCAAGGTCCACAGGGCCTCTGTGCTGGGCCCTCCAGGATGGTCCCAGTTACACAGGGACTCCCAGGACACCCTACCTTCCTCGGCCACCTCAGATGCCACGCATAGGACAAAGCCATTCCTCTGCCCACCAGCACCCCTTTTCCTGTGTTTCAGATCCCCATTTTGTTAAAACTATGCCTCCCAATCTTGTGGTGACTCCAGTAGCACTGGACTGCGTGAGCCCCATCTCTGCACTGGAACATAGGAATAAAGACCCAAAGTGGCCCTGGGCCCATCCCCGAGGTCCCCTGGAAACCCTGGGTCTGCCCCTTCAAGCCGGCTGTCCCCATTCTGGGCCTGCAGTGGGAGCAGCCTGGAGGGCCCCATGGTGCCGGTGGGTGTCTTCACGAGTAGCTCCCATTCCCTCCCAGCCACACCACTCTTCTATCGAATGGACAAAGGGAACCCTGGCTTTTTCCTGACACACATGCTTCTCTATCCTCTCCATGGCCAGGCTGAGAATTTCCCAAACCTTGATGTTCTGCTTCTTCTTTCATGGAAGGGATGAATTGTGAGTTCTATCTTTCGATCACTTCTCTCTCCTCAGATGCTACTGCAGTTCACAGAAACCAGACCGTATTCTGGGAGCTTTACTGCTTGGAGATCTCTGTCAACAAATATGCCAGCTTGTCGCTCTTCAGTCTCACCTGCTGCAAAGTCCTAGGACATGGATGCAGCCATATTCTCTGCCACTTTATAACACAAATGGCCTCGCCTCTGTTCCCCTACACATTGCTCCTCATTTCCAGCATCAGAATGGCCTTTCTGTCCCTATTTCAACAGAGTTATTCTATTCATGTGACATATTTAACATCACCTGCCTCTGTTTTGCAATGCCAGCTCCTGCTCGATCCTTGCTTCTTGGTCCCAGAGCCTTCTGGGTTCTCTTTCCTGCTACAGGCTCTGGTTCTCTCCTAAGCTTCTGGACTGTGAGAATGGCACCTCATCTCTGTGTCCCTTCACTCCTGGGAATACTAGCTGCTTCCTGTCATGGCTGTCCACTAGGTAACTAACTACCTGTCTCACTACTTTCTGTGGCTGTATCAGAGTACAGGCAACTGAGTGATTTACAGAGAAAAGAGGTTTATTGAGCTCAGGGTTCTGGGAATCCAAGAGGTGGCAATGGCATCTGTTTGGCCTTTGAGAAGGCCTTGCTGCTGAGTCATAACGTGGCTCAGTGTGTCACATAGCAGGACAGAGCATCCTCCTGCTCTTATAAAGCCACAGTCTCGTTGGATTAGGACCCCAACCTTACGGCTTCATTTAACCTTAATTGTCTCCCCAAGGCTCCACCTTCAAATAATACAAGTGGATTGATTTTCCACCTTCTTACTACTTCATAGTGGGGATTAAATTTCAGCATGAATTCTGATGGAGCCATTCAAGCCACAGTACCTGATCAACTCCTGGTCGGCCCCTCAGCTCTCTACCTCTGGCATCACCCACCTCTGTCTGAGTCTCTCCAGCAGATTCTTCCTGATGTCGGTGCTAAGACTGGCCCAGATCTGGAAGTAAGAGGGAATCTGGAGTGAGGTCATCTGATCCTCCCAGCCTGGTTCCCCAGGCTTGGTCTACAGAGCTGACTGACTCCTATGCAGGCAGTGGAGGAAGAAGGGTGGAGATGGGGGAATGCCCCTGTATCCTGGATTTCCACGCATGAGCTCTGCCCACCAGCAATGGTGTCCTCGGCACAGGCCCACCGCTGACCTATCAGACCCATACCTCCTCCTTCCCTAGGGAGTAGGAGGGACCTTATAAGGGCATCAGAAGTGGATCTACCATGGGGCAAAGGGCAGCTGCTTCCTTCTCAGCAATAATAATCAGCCTGACTGTGAGAGTGACTACACTAGAGATTTAAATAAGGTGCACCAGGAACACCAGGTGGGACACTGGTGATTGATTTCTACTGAGAGATGAACTAAGCTTCAGGGGTTGTACTTTTGACCTAGATATTGAAGGGGGGACTCAAATGGAGCAACGTGGGGTCAGTGTTGAGGGGAGCAGGAAGAGAGGAGTGGCGAAGGCTCAGCCACATTGAAAGTCCTGTGTCTGGGGTGAAGGCTTCATAGGGAAGGCTGGATTTAGCTAAATGGACCCAACTGAAGAGAAGGAAGGTGGTAACGAAATGGAAGATTTGATGTCAGAGGGGTTGGGAGAAATTCCCATAAATCATAGAGCACAGAGCTGGGACAAGCATTGCCAGTGAGCGCATGGGTTCAGACCCTGATTCTTCAAAGCACACAGTCTTAGATTACTAAGAAGCCTTAAATTAGTAAAATAACAATGTCATTACTTTCTTAAAGCCTTAGAATCTCAGGGAATCTTATAATCTTAGGATGATTGAATTCTTAGATCTCAAAGACTTAAGTTTTTAAAACTGGGCACCAGCCCCCTCCTCTTCCTGGTTATGCTAATACCCACTCCGGGCTCAGCACTTAGCACACATGATGTCCTACTGTCTCCGTAACAACCTGGAAAGTAAGAATAATTATTGTACCTGATTTTCCAGATGGAGAAAACAAGCTCAGTGAGGGTAAGTTGGCTGCCGAAGGCCAGACCCCTTGCAGGCAGTGTGGCTGGAACTCTAACCAGAACCTCAGCTGCCAAAGCCCACGCTCTTGGCCTTGCTGCTACTTGGCCTCCTGTGAGGCCTCCACGCTGTGTTCACCCATCTTCTGTGCATACCTCCAGTGGTGGGAAGCTCATTACCTCTCCCCAGGTTTATCCCAACTTGAACATAACTTTCCTCGGGATCCCTACCCACTGGTTCCAAATCTGTCTTAGGAGACTCCAAGAGAAACTTTCAACCAAGACCCCTGTAGGGAGAGGAAGAGGCCACTGAGGTGGGACAGTGACTGCACTGGAGAGGAGTGAGGGGTCGGGAAGCCCCAGCTGCAGCCTGCCTTCATGAGATACTGGAGCTTATCCTGAGGGAAGGAGCCAGCCTGAGACATCAGGACTGGGCCACTCAGAGACAAATGAGAACACGGCCTGGGATACCGTGCTGTGGGGGTGAAGAATAAATGTACAATGCAGAAATGCAATTCCCCTACCACCAGAGTCATGGGGCCTAATGAGATTGGAATTGTAAGTACTCTGGCTGTAATTTCTTGGCTCTTCTCCCTGAAAACTTATTCTGTAGAATGTGTCTGTGCCATCCATCCTCCCAGATGGCTTCCTAAGTGAAGCTGTTTATTAAATTGAAGAAGAAAGGGGAAAAGAGGAGGTGATGAAGCCACTGCAGCCTCAGGGAGTGGGTCCAGGAGGAGGAGCAGCGCATTGCTGGCTGATGAGTAGGTTCTCCAGGATGGAGACTCCAGCCTCTACAGGCCCCCATAGGCCAGAATCTCAATCGTACCTGCTGAATGTTGTAAGCTCTCCTCTCCCTGTCCTAGTCTAGGGATGATAGATACATCAGCCCAATAATTCCTTCCAGTAAACTTAAAACAAACCAACTTACCCAGACAGGGCAGGACTCTGAGCAGGATCACACAATTTTCAAGAAAGGGATAATAAAATATTATCTCTATCAGACCCATGTGACCCTGAAATGGATTCCGGTCCTATCTCCATTTCTCCTGGGCTCTTTTGTTTTCTCTGTCTTCCTGCTTTATGGATATAGCCAACCTGGTATGGTCTGGATCTGAAATGTCTCCCAAAAGACTGATGTATTCAGAGGCTGGGCTTTCAGAAGGTAACTGGGTCATGTGGGTTGGTGTTATACTCATCAGTGGACTAATCCACTGGAGAATCTATAGCTAAACATGCCTTCAGAAAGTGGGATTTGGTCAGAAAACGTGGGTCACTGGGGGCATGACCTGGAAGGGTGTATCTCCCTCCCTGGATCTTCCCGTCTCTCTCCATTTCCTGGCTGCCATAACAGGAGTAGCTTTCCTCCATCAGGCCCTTCTACCATGCCTTCCTGCCTTGGAGCCAGCTGACCACAAGTTGAAAACATCAGCCAATGTATAACTGTCCCCTTTAATTTCTATTTTGTCCCAGGGATGAGAAAGTGACTAAGACAGATTTTGGTACCAGGAACAGGGTCATTGCAATAACCATATCTGAGCATACCTGATCATATGGTTTTGGAACTGGTTTTGGGGGGTGGGGAGATTTGGACAGGTTTGAAGAATCCAGCTAGAGAAGCCATAGAATGCTGTAATGTGAGGTTGATGGGAGATTCTGGCAAGAGCTCAGAAAATCAGAATGTGGATAGACTAGTCTCCAGAGGTTTCAGTTGAGATCAATGAATTCAATTGGCAGTTGAACAGGTGTGTTGCACTCTGGAAGAAAATTTGTCTGTATTTTGTTCATGTCCTATAACTTTGCAGGAGACTGAGATTAAGGTCAGTGGACCAATTAATCTGGTGAAGACAATTTTAAGGCAGCTCAATGTTCAAATTGTGGCATGAGTGCTGCTGGCAGCTTTCAGTCAGATTTACAGTTAGAAACAAGAACAAAAGCCCATTTGAAAAGTTTTAAATTCCATCAAAAAGGAAGACCCTGCAAAACTGGGCCATAGAAGAGCATAGTTGCTAAAAAGGTTAGCATTAGGACGGCCAGGTCATAGAGGGAGCAGTGGCCCAGCCCCAGTCTGCACAGCCATGGTGCCTGTGGTGGGCACCCCACCATGGGTGCTGGGCCTGCTGTACACCATGTGGCTGGGGCTGGCTGCAGCCTTCCTGCTGAGCCTGCTGCTGCAGCTCGCACCACCCCACCTGCTCCTGGGCTTCCTGCTCTTTCAGGACCTCATCTGCCATGGCAAGACCAAGCTGACAGCCAGCACACCCAGCCACCTGCCGTGCCTTTGACATCCCCAAGAGTCAAATACAACTTAATTAAGAGTACTCCATTCTTTGATCTGTTCAAATAAAAAAAAAATTCTTTTAAAAAAAAGTTAGCAATGAAAAGAAGCCTAGTACTCTGTATCAGGATAATAGGAAAGATGTCTTCAGAGTACTTCAGGAATCAGGAAGACTTGCATTTGTAAGCTCAAAGGTATAAAAATGAAAGACTTTGCCATAAGAAGAGATTCCCAGGGCACCCTGTTGGAGAGGCCCACCTGGAAAATTGGTTCCAAGATTCATTTTACCATGCTCAGCTATCCAGGCACTTGAAAGCCTTTGCAGCCATGATCTAAGGGTGCCTGGCTACTGCTTAAACTGGAAGTGACCTATGGCATCATCCACGTGGTACTGGTTTTATAGGCTTGCAGAATTCAAGACTTGTGGATCAGAGAGTTTCCATGCAGATTTCAGAAGAAGGTCCAGCAGGCTAGAAAGGGTGCCCCTGAGAAGGGAGTACATAAAGCTGTAAGAGTGAAACCGAAAGTGCAGTGGAGACCCCAGGAAGTTAGAGAAGCCAGGAATGTGAAACATCTCAGAAAAACCACAGGCAGTGAACAGAGCCAACCCAAAAGAGAGACCATGAGGGCTGCAAACTGCAGGGCCATATCGATGGAGTCACTAAAGCTCATTGAGACTCAAATTTCACAACTTGTCTCAAACGCTGGACATGGAGCTCCAGGATTTAATGGTTGCCCGGCTGGGTTTTGGTCTTTTTATTCCATTTATTTTTATTCCCTTAGTCCTCTCTTTTGGAATGAGAACATTTACCCTGCACCATTGTATGTTGGCAGTGCTTAAACTTTCTTTTTGAGTTTTACAGGGACTCACAGCTAAGAGTTTATCTTGTGTTGCAAAACAGACTTTGGACTTGGACTTTTCAGCAATGCTGAAACTTTTAAGACTTCAGTGACC